AACCCAGCCCTAGCCCTAACTCTAACCATAGCCCTGCCCTATCTCGAGCCCTTTACCTAAAACTAGCCATAACCCTAGCCCTAGACCTAGCCGTAGACATAGCTCTAGCCCTAACACTAATCCGAGCCCTCACCCTAACCCTAGCCCTAGCCCTAGATTTGGCCTAGTCCTAACAGTAACCCTAACACAAGCCCTAAACATAAACCTAATGCTAGCCCTAAAACTAACTCTAGCACTAGACCTAGCCCTATCTCTAGCCTAGCCATAACACTAAACCTAGCCTTAGACCTAGGCCTAGCCTAATCTTAACCATAACCCTAGCCCTAACCTTAAACCTAACACTAGCCCTAACCCTAACCTTACCCCAACCCTAGCCCTAACCCTATCCTTAGCCTTATTCCTAGCCCTAGCCCTAACCCTAAACCAAGTCCTAACCATAACCCTCACCCTAAACCTAACCCTAGCCCTAACCCTAACCCTAACCCCAACCCTAGCCCTAACCCTATCCTTAGCCTTATTCCTAGCCCTAGCCCTAACCCTAAACCAAGTCCTAACCATAACCCTCACCCTAAACCTAACCCTAGCCCTAACCCTAGCACTATCTGTATCCCTAGCCCTAACCCTAACCAATACTCAAACCCTTGCCCTAAACCTAGCCCTAGGCCTAGCCCTAACCCTAACCCTAACCCTAGTCCTAGCCCTAGTCCTAGCCCTAACCCTAAACCTAACCCTAGTTTTAGGCCAAACCCTAGCCCTAGACCTAACCTAGCCCTAGCTCTAGCCCTAGACCTGTCCCTAGCCCTAACTATAACCCTAAACCTAGCCCAAACCCTAACCCAAACCATAGCCTTAAACCTAACCCTAGCCATAACCCTATCCATAGATATAGACCTAACACTATCTCTATCCCTAACCCTAACCCTAACCCTAGGCCTAACCCTAACTCTAGCCCTAACCCTAGCCCTAGGTCTAGCCCTAGCACTACCCCTTGCCCTAAAACTATCTGAGCCCTAACAATAACCTTAGCCCTAGTCCTACACCTAGGACTAGCCCTAAACATAATCCTAGCCTTAGACCTAGCCCTACCCCTAAAACTAAACCTAACCCTAGCCCTAGACCTAGCTATAGCCCTAACCCACATGTTAACAATAACCCTATCCCTAACCCTACCTCTAAGCCTAACCCTAGCCCTAACTCTAGCTCTAACCCTAGCCCTAGCCCTAACACTAATCAGCTAACTGTAGACATCGAGCTAGCCCTAGCCCTAACCCTAACCCTAGCCCTAGTCCTACCCAAGCCCTAGACCTAACCCTAACCGAAGCCTTAACCCTAAACCAGGAAATTATCTTGTCATGATTACAAGTAAACATACTCATAAAAATGTTCTAGGAGAGGTTCATCCACTGTAGCTTTTATAAGATAACATATGAAGTACAAATGGCCAATGTCTTCACTCTCCACCCTCCCCCTACACATACAGTGCTTAGCACAATGATGTTGATATGGAAGACTCTGAGTTGTGTTTCTTGGTTGTTTAATCCTAACTTCTTTTGAAAAATAATTCAACTTTGAATGTCCACCTATATCTGTTATACATTTCTTTCCTGTTCATCACTTATAAGAAAAAGAGAGGTGATTAACTAAAATCACTCATGTATGTAGAAATACCCCCTTTCGGTATCACATTTGGCCTTTTATTTTCATGGGTAGAAGATAATTTGATTGGTTACAAACTTATCAACATTTGATGCCTCAATAAAGTCACAAGAATGTTGTTTTGATAAAACCAAAATGAACACAAATCTTGGGAGATTATCAAAGGCTTACTGTAACAGTGTATTGGGTACATTGGATGAAACTGAAATGCCTTTAGTGACATACATACTAGAAACAACAGGTTTATCTAGAATGGATACTGGAAAAGGCAGAAAGAACCAATTGATTGAGGATGTCTTCAGATGAGAGAGACATGGGAAACATTTTTAAAGAAATTCTATAGAGGCAAAATTTGAATAAGAATCAGAACCAAAGGTCCCCAAGTAATCCAGGATCCATCCAGTGATGATTAGAAAAAGGAGGCAGGAAGCTGGGTCAATAAACAGAGCATTCTTAATCCGAGAAGATATTTACTCTCCAGTTAGAAGTTTCAGATGCTAACAAACCCTCTGGGAGAGGGGAGAAGGTTCTGGAAGGCAGATATTAAGTGAGCTAAAAAATTGTGTCATCTGATATTAACAGTTTTCATTCAAGATTCACTATTCCATAAAATAATCAACTCAATCTATAAGTTTTATTGTATGGTTTTGCAACTCTTGCTCAATCATCCACAATAAAGTGACACTTGTCATTAAGGAGGGGAATTGGAGTGAATCTAATTAAATTTATTAGAATATTAGAAAAATTGGGGCTTACATTTGGTTTCTATAGAAGAACAATATATACTTTTCAATTTTTTTAATTTACCAGTTAAAATACAAAGACATTGTATAGGAACAAAATGGACATCTTATGATTTGATTGTAGTTTTTTAGCTCTTGTTTATACTCCTGTGGAACTGTGATCTTTATACTTTTGACTTCTTCAATATTATGGTTATTGGTGCCTTAGGCCTACAATTATAGAGTGGACTGAAATTATGTTTTTGTGAAAGTTAAAGGAGAAAAAGTAAGGAAAGAGGTGGAATGATGGAGTAAAAAGAGGAAGGGAGGGAAGTATGGTTATCTTCTTAGAATTATACCTATGATGATCACTGATGTCATAAATAAGAGTGTCAGTTGTTAAATCAACAACGGGAATCACTGTGCACTTGCTCCCCATGTAGGACCTCTGTCCTTAATGTGTTTTACTATGAGAATTAATGGTAAAACTAGTCTTCAAAGGGTACCTTATACTTCGTGTGTCTGTGTGGGTGCAAACTGTTGAAATCTTTACTTAGTATAGAGTTGAACTTCTATATATAAAGATAATTTAAAAATGAATCTTAATGAAAAATGGTATGGGAGAGGTAGTAGGAGGTGGGATGGCTTGGGGGTGGGAAAGTGGAAGAACTGCTGTAATCCCAAAGTTGTACTTATGAAATTTATATTTACTAAATAAAAGCTTTCTATAAAAAGAATTATGAACAGCTATGAAAAACATGAGATATACTCTTCATATTAATAACAATTAAAAATAAATAAAAATTAAAAATCATTTTAAGGTCTCAATAGGATATGTGCCCAGAACTGACAAGTAAAGTTGCAGAGAATGGCTAATACAGCCTTATCAGTTTCATTTGTCATCCTAATCCATTCCCCTGTGGTCACATTACTTCAGTTCTACCACTTCTATTTCTTACATGAAATATATCTTAATGCATTTATTCTTAAGCTAGAAATAATAGGCTTTTACTCTGTTTTTTAGAAGAGCCTAATTGAGGAGCCATGTTGACCTATGTTTTAGTTGGAATATTTAATAATTTTGAAGTATATATGATCTTTTTTGTTTTGACTAAATTGAAACACCAGTAAAAACACAGGGTCTCTGTGATATTGTGGGGGCATACTTTATGGTGTAACACATGATAGGGATTTGTAAAGGTTTGAGGAGTGCTGGAGAAGAATGTGAATTTTACTGAATGGTTCAAGTGCTCTATATTTTATATGGATGTACACAGTACTTATGTGAATTTGTTTATTTGTCTTTTATTTGGTTCTAAGTTGTTGTGCTTAAGGCTTTTCAGTAGAGATCTGCAATAAAGTTTCCCATTAGGATTTTAGATTTACTTATTTCTTGCAGTAGCTTAGTTCTTTAATTGATTTAAATATTTTCAGGTAACTAGGAGCATAAAGTCGAGATCCTGTCTTCCTAGTGACTAAAAGTTTTGTCATTATGCGTTGATTATTTTTTCCCAAAACATATTTGTCTTCCTTAAAGTCTGTTTTGCCTGATATAGTAATTGTGACTTTCTTTTTAAAATATTTTCCTGAAATATATTTTCAGTCCTTTACTTCAATATTTTCACAACCATTTTTGTTTTCACTTTGTATTTTAATGGCTTTTTTAAAAATGTTCAGTTTTGTCTAATGAACCCATTTGTGTGATTTTGAGAAAATTTTACCTACTTATATTTAGTATGATCATTAATATATTTAGATTTATTCCCACCTAATTAAGAATTTTAGTTTTCTTAGCCTGGGACCATTTTTCCTATTGTTATTTTAGCAATTATTTTGTTTCTTAGTGTATGGAGTTTTTCTCCTTTCCTTTTTGGGGATGCATATTTGCTCTTTCTATTACTAGTCATTATCTTGGAATATTTACCATACAGATTTTTCTAAATAAAGTAAAAGTTTAAATTATTTGTACTTCTTTCCTCAGGACTGTAGGGATTGTTAGAATACTTAAAGTGTAATCACTGCTTTTCTGATTTGGAGTTGCTTTTATTCAGAATTTAGTTCTTTTATTCAGCCCCACAAATTAGCCATTAGGTTTATTATTTCAAATAGATGATGATTTAATTTGCATTTTATTTACTACTCACCATTCATTTTTGCCTCTCATTCTTCTGAAATCATGTCCTGCCTCTTAGGAAGATCTCTTGGTTTCATTTCACTGTCAATAATGACAGCTAATCTTTCTGGATAAGTGCAGGGCAGTAGTGACTGTGTTCAGTACTTCAAAGATGGTATTCAAGGCTCTCTGTTTTCTCTTTTTGATCTATTGGTCCAGCTATTCATTATTCAGTCATCTTTTTCCCATGGAAGTTTTATAATTATATCTGTTTTCCATAAAGAAGTTATACTTTATACTCTGTATGTAGATTTCTTGTCACTTACTCTTCTGGGCACACATTGGAAATACTGTTTCTTGCCTTGGGCTAGAGGGATTGGAGAATCAGAGTCATGATACTTTCATATAAAGTATTTCCTACCTGCTCCTAATACTTGCGGTTTGATAGGTTTTCTCATTCTGTGCTCCATATCTCTTAATTTTAAAAATATTTCAACTTTGTATGCAAGAGGCATTGTGGGGCGACGACCCCAACTCCTCGGGCGTGGTCCCGCGGCTTCCAGCAGGGGCCCGCGGCTGCAGGGCCAGGGGATGCCCAAGATTGCGGCCAGTGGCGCGGAGGGTGGTGCCACCTGCGGGCCGGTCTGGGCTCCGCCCAGACCCTGGCGCCACCCCAGCCACGCAACTCCCTCCCAGCCCTGCCTCCGTCTCCGGCCCCAGCGCCGTGGGCCCCAAGTCATCCCCGCCGCCCCCAGGCCCTGGGCCCGCACCCGCGCTGCCCACTGAGCGCCTCAGCCTCCTTTGCCTCGGGGAGCCACCGGCCACGCCCGCGGGGCTGGGCACCAGGGGCGACCGCGTCTGCTTCAACCTGGGCTGCGAGCTGTATTTCTACCCGGGCTGCTGCTGCCGCAGGAGTCAGCGGTCTATGGACCTCAAGAAGCCCATCGACAAATGGATCTACAAGGGCATGCAGCCCACCTGCCACGACTTCAACCAGTTCGCCGCCGCCACCGAGACCATCTCCCTACTGGTGGGCTTCCCAGCCGGCCAGGTGCAGTACCTGAACCTCAAGGGGGACACCAGCAAGCTCTTCAACGAGGAGTGGCTGATTGACAAGACCAAGGTGACAAATCTGAAGTGGCTGCCCAAGTCGGAGAGCCTCTTCCTGGCCTCACACTCCAGCGGCCACCTGTACCTGTGCCATGTTGGCCATCCGTGTGCCTCGGCGCTGGCGCCGTACAGCCTGCTGAGGCAGGGTGAGGGCTTTGCCGCCTACACCACCGATAGCAAGGCCCCTCGCAACCCGCTGGCCAAGTGGGCGGTGGGCGAGTGGCCCCTCAACAAGTTTGCCTTCTCGCCCGACAGCCGGCACCTGGCCTGGGTCAGCCAGGACGGCTGCCAGCGCGTTTTCTACTTCGACTCCATGATCCTCCGCAGGCTCATGAAGAGCTACTTGGACGGGGTGCTGTGTGTGTGCTGGAGCCCAGACGGCTGCTACATGGTGACAGGTGGTGAAGACGACCTGGTCACCGTGTGGTCCTTCACCGAGGGCCGCGTGGTGGCCCGTGGTCACGGCCACAAGTCCTGGGTCAACGCTGTAGCCTTTAACCCCTACACCACGTGGGTGGTGATGGGGAGAGGGGCAGTGAGGAGGAGGGGGAGGCCGCGGCTGGGCGCCCAGGCTCTGCCAGACGCATCCCGCTCTTCCCGCTGCCCAAGGCCGGCTCCATTACCTACCGCTTCGGCTAGGCCAGCCAGGACACGCAGATCTGCCTCTGGGACCTCACCGAAGATATGCTGTACCCATACCCACCCCCTGGCCCGTACCCGCACCCTCCCTGGCACCATGCTGGCAGTTGCCTGCAGCTTGTGGGCCAGCGAGCCTGGCCTGGGGCCCTGGCCCGGCTCGCTGTCCTGCTCCAACAGCCTCCCGCACCTGGAAAGTAGTGGCAAGGCCGGGGGCCCAGGCAAGGTGGCGGCAGAGCCCGGCACGCAGTGCAGCATTGGCCACTTCGCCATGCTCACGCTGCAGCCTGGGCAACATCAGCCACGGGGGCGGTGGCGGCGGCAGGGACAAGGCCAGTGGCCCCGCGCTGTGCAGCCGCCTGGACCCTGCCAAGGTGCTGGGCACTGCACTGTGCCCTCGCATCCACGAGGTGCCGCTGCTGGAGCCGTTTGTGTTAGAAGATCGCACTGGAGCGGGTCAGCATGCTGCTCTTCCTGGGGGACTGCATCATTACCGCCTGCCAGGAGGGCCTCGTCTGCACCTGGGCCCAGCAGGACAGGACGGAGGGGACCCGTTTCCCCTTCTCCTCTCCACCAGCCACTTCCCCATCATCTGTGTCAGAGCTCACCAGAGGCTTTACTGCATGGAAGTGCCAGCCACTGGGCCAGAAGCTAGCTGAGATGACAACTCCCAACCAGGCAACTCCCCAAGTGAACAGTGGTGTGAAGCTGTGGATGCTGGGGTCCCTGCACTGTGCAGGTTGAGAAATCAGAGACATTGATGCAGCCCGACTTGGTCTTGTCAAACATGTTTATCATCATGAGGCATATCTTGTCATGGAACAAGGAACAATTGACCAGAGCCTGCTTTAGCTCCTTGGTGGGAATATAACTGGTATGATCTGAGTCCAAAACTGGAACATGAGTAGGCATCGGGATCCACACCAGAAGAGGTGTCAGCCTGTCCATAAGGCCTAGGCTGATGAACACCATAGGCATTTAGGTGTGGTGGATGAATGGAGCTTCTGGTGCTGCATCATTTTATGGTCCTCCTGGAGTTGGAGCCTCTGCAGGGTTGGAGTGTCCATAGCCCCTCCACCATCTTTAGTACATAAGGACATTCTACTTTTAGTAGAATTTTTTGGATCCTTTATTTATAGAATCATGTTTTTTTTTTTTTTAAAAGGATAATCTGACATCCTCCTTTCCAATATGTAGCCCTCTGATTTATTTTATTGCCTAATGGCTCTGGCTAAAACTTCCAGGACAACACCGAATGGCAATGGTGAATGCAGGCATCTTGTTGGTTCTGGATATTAGGGAGAATGCTTCCCACTTTTCTCAGTTCAATAAAATGTAGGCCATAGGTTTGCCATAAAATGCCTTAGTTATGTTGAGGAATGTTCTTTCTGTACCCAATTTGCTTAATTTTTCATCATGAAATCATGTTGTATTTAATCAAATGCTTTCTCTGTATCTATCGAGATAATCACATGGTTTTTGTTTTTCAGTTTGTTTATGTGATGAATCACATTTATTGATTTGTGAATGCTAAACCATCCCTGCGTATCAGGGGAAAATCCCACATGGTCCAGGTGAATGATCTTACTGATGTGTTGTTGGATTTGATTATCTAATATTTTGTTGAAGATTTTGGCATCTATGTTCGTTAGGGATATTGGTCTATAGTACACTTTCTGTTGTATCTCTTTCATGTTTAGGAATTAAGGTAATGCAGGTTACATAGAAAGAGCTTGGGAGGATTCTCTCTCTTATAATTGTTTCTCTCCCTTTTAACTGTTTAGAATAGCTTGAGAAAAATTGGAATTAATTATTTTTAAATGTCTTGTAGGAATGTTTATTGAGCCATGTCATTTTACACATCCATAGTAACCTTGAATGCAAATGGCCTCAACTGTAAAGTTGAAAGATAGACTAGGTGAATGGATTAAAAAACAAGACCCATTTATTTACTCCCTACAAGAAACATATCTCACCAGCAAAGAACCCACACACTGAAAGTAAAGGATGGAAAAAGATATTTCATGCTAATGGGTAGTAAAAAAAGACAGATGATGCCATGCTAATATCAAACAAAATATATTTTAATACAAAAACTCTTAGAAGAGATGGAAAAAGGCACTATGTAAAATGATTAAGGGATCAATTCAAATAAATGTGTGACTATAATAAATGTAAATAATTTTATATATATTATAATTATATAAAATAAATTTAAATATATAATTTATATATAAGTATATAAATATACATTTTATTATAAAGTTATTTATTATAAATGTATTAATGTATTTATAACAATAAATATATAAATAAATAAATAAATAAATAATAAACAGGGCTTCTACCTAAAGAAATGTTAATGGATCTAAGGGAGACATATTCTCCAATACAACAGTAACAGAGGACTTCAACATCCCACTTTCAACAATGGACAGATCAACTAGACAGAAAAATCAACAATGAAACAAGAGAGCTATTTGACACACTTAACTAAGTGGACCTAACTGATATCTACCGAATTTTTATCTCACAGTTGTAGAATACACATTCTTCTCAAGAGTGCATAGAACTTTTTCTAGGATAGACCATAGGCTAGGCCATAAAGCAAATTTCTGAACATTCAAAAAATGGAAATCATATCAGGCATATTCTCTAACAACAATGGAATAAAGCTGGAAATTAACAACTCAATAATCTCTAGATGACATGCAAACATGTTGAGACTGAACAACATATTTCTGAATGAACACTGAGTCATAAAAGATCAGAATAGAAATAAAGAAATTCTGGAAATGAATGAAGACATCAATACATCATATCAAAATTTGTGGGATACAACAAAAGGAGTGTTAAGAGGGAAGTTTATAGCAATTGGTATCTACCTAAAGAAATTGGAAAGTCATCAAATAAATGAACTATCAATTCACCTAGAGGACCTAGATAAACAAACCAAGCCCAAAATAAGTAGCAGAAAAGAAATAATTAAAATTAGAGAATAAACCAAATTGAAACAAAATAATACAAACAATTATTGAAATGAAGAACTGGCTTTTTGAATAAAAATAACAAAGTTGATACACCGTTGCCCCGACTAACCAATAAAAAATAGGGAGAAGATCCAAATCAATAAAATCAGAGATGAAAAAGGGAATGTAACAACAGATACCACAGAAACAAAAAGAAATCATCAGAAATTACTATATGGAGCTGTATGCCATCCAATTGGGAAACATAGAAAAAATGGATAGATTCCTGAATATAATCTACCAAAATTGAATCATGAAGCCATAGAATACCTAAACAGACTGATAACCAATATGGTGATTGAATCTTATTTCGCTTAACATAATGTCCTCCAAGACACATCCTCATTGTTGAAAATGTCATTTTATCTTTTTTCATGGATGAATAATAGTAGACTATGTATATGTTCCACAATTATCTTTATTTATTAATCAGTTGATGAATGTGTAGATGGTTTCAATTTCATGGCTATTGTGAGTTGTGATGCAATAAATGGGAATTTAGATGTCTCTTGAACATAGCGTTTTTATTTACTTTGGAGATCTATCTATCCATCCATTCATTAGTGGTATTACTGGATTATATGACAGTTCTACTTTCAATTTTTGAGTAACTCCAAATTGTTTTCCATATAGTAACTTGTGTTTGGAGTAACAATGTGTAAGGACTCCCTTTTCTCTATAACATTTCTTAGTAACATTTGTTTTTGTCTGTCTTTTTTATAACAGCCATCCTAACTGCAATGGTGTAACATCTCACTGTGTTTTGATTTGCATTTATCTGATGATAGTGATGCTAAAGTTGTTCTCATACACATACTGGATATTTGCCTTTTGTGAAAAATGTTTATCTAGGTCTATGGATCTGTTTAAATCATCACCATTATTATCTTCCCTTATAGAGTCTAGATCCCCACCCCTTATCAAATGTACAATTTGTAAATATATTCTGCCATTCAATGGGTCACCTCATCATTCAGTCATTGTTTCTCTTGCTGTGCAGAAGCTTCTTAATTAAATCAAATTTATACATGGTTTTCTTTTGCTTCCTGTGATTTTCGGGTGTTATCCAAAAAATCTTGCCCATTCCATTGTCCTGAAGCATTTGCATTCTTTTCTTGAGGAATTTCAGAGTTTCAGGTTGCACAGTCAAGTATTTAATACATTTTGAGTCAATTTTGTATATTGAGAGATGGAGGTCTAGTTTCATTTTTTCTGCAGTGGATCTTCAGTTTTTCTAGTGCCATTTAATGAGACTGTGCTTTCTCCAGTTCATGCTCTTAGCACCTTTGTCAAAGGTCAACTAGCTATCTATAGATGTATGAGTTTACCTCTAGGGCTTTTGTTCTGTTCTGTTCTGTTTGTGTGTATGGGTGTGTCTGTTTTTATGCCCATATTATGTTGATTTGATCACTATATCTTGGTAGTATGCTCTGAAGCCAAATAATGTTATCACTTACCTCTATTTATTAGGTTATCATGCTTCTTGTGATGGCCCATTTTCCTCTCTTAATCCAACACTGAACTGCAAGTTAAGTGTTTTCTTTTATTGTCATGGTAAATGTGGAGGCAGCTTCCTGGAGATGCATTGAGAAAATATCATGTGTGTCAATGCAGTGTGTGGGGCAGGGTCTCCCTAGAGACTGAAATTAGGGTCTGCATACATTCTATATAAACCCTCTCAGATAAAGATCCTCAAAGGAAGACAGTGGTCATAGAGTGTGATCTGAACATAACTGACTTTTCCTCCCAGAAAATAAGCTGTTACGTTTTTCAATCACTCAGAGTTTGAGGTGATTATTCCTGTTATTCCTGAATATTCCTGTTAGCCAGGGGACAGTCATTATTCTTCCTATAGGACAAGTGACGTTAGTGAGGCTACACTGTTAGGTTAAATTACTCCTTCAAGGCTTGTATGCACCATGGGAATGACTAGATATTCTTACACATGATGTTGTCATTAAACCTACCTTTCAAGCTATATTTTTGTACCTCCTCATTGGTGTTGGTATTGCTACTCCAAAGGAGATGCCCTGAAAATATGGAGGATATTGATAAGGCATTGGTAAGAAGATAGCACCTACACAGACAAGTGTTGGTGATATATGTATTAAGTATTGATAAGTTGTGAATAACAATCTTCACCTAAGATTTAACTCTCTGAATTTTACTTGGAATTGTTCAACCAATAGAGATGTATTAACCCAAATATTATCCTAATTAAGAAAAATTAATTTGGGCAAAATAGTAAAAGATCAATTTTTCTATCAAAAAGGACATTGTGAGTCATACTTCATATGTTAATAAAGATTTGGATAATGATATCAATGTTGTTGCTTTTTTTGTCCTTGTTGACTGTGCATTTGGTCTTTTGGATTTTTCAGGTGTTTTTGTTCTATATTCTTCATGATTCCAATTTTCAACATGATAAACATATAGGAGATTTAGTGGCCCCATATAATCTCAGGATTACTCCAAATAAATAAAATCTCTATACATTTCAAAGAAATCAATTAATGCTGATTTCCACCTACTTTATCTTTGTTTACCCTATACAGAAATTCTGTTGTACTGCTTCTAAGTGTTCTTAAACTTGAGTTCCACAGATGCAGTCCTTTCAAATTTAAAAGATATTCATACTCTTTCCATTCTATTCTCCATGGGTGTCCTTTTACAAAATGATTTTATTTCATTTGAAAAAAGTCCATTAAATCTTTT